TAGCAGATATATGGTAATACCATTGCCAGCAAATACTCCTCTGAGCCACACACTGTCCAAACTTGGAAATATATCACTGTTCCTTCACAGACGCAACATCGAAACTCTGGAACATCCTCCCTAGCAACTCCCTAGGGGTTGCGGCAGTTCAACGAAGTGGGCCCACCTCCACATTTTCAGGTGCAATGGGTAATAAATATTGGGTTGCCAGCAACTTCCACATCCCTTAAAAGAATTAAAAACAAGTATAGATGCAATCACCTTCTAGTAAATACCAATTGTGGCTGCATAAACCTCCATGTATTTGCCAATTATGCAGAGTTGTGGAGCTGGCTTCCAAATTGAGGCCGTTATTATTCCAGTTTATAATTTTAAGGATGCTTAGGATTAGAAAACAACTAGCAAAGATATGCTTATTACGGCACCCACACATCTATGGCACTACCTCTTACTCAGTAACCAATGTGGTGAAGCCACTGAGTAAGGCTGAAAAGCTGTTACACCTACTGTGATGATTCGAGGTAACAACATTTATTATTAAGAACAATCATCATTATGGTTTGTGAACCCATCACACACGAGTGAATGAAAGACAAGCAGTATAGATCTTGTATGTTCATTATCAAAATCACACACCTTCTCCTTCAATCATTTGGAATCAGCTAGGGAAACGACCACTATTAACACCAGGGCAGCTACAACAAGGCTTAGTTACAGAGTAAAGTTCCCTCGAGATTGTCATCAACCTCTCCTAGGCCTGGCACATGAGGGCTAGAAACTGATTAATGTTCCTTCTACATTATCCTGAAAAACATTTCCAGGATGGATAGAGTATGTAGTGGATACAGAGTAAAGCTCTCTCCACATTCTCCCTAACAGGAAATCACAATCCTTGAAACTAGTATTGTGTCCTTGACTGCATCAAACCATAAAGCAGAACTTTTTTTTAAACGGAACTTCAACAGACTTGTAAATCATAACATAACAAGCAAATAACATCATGTGAAGTTTGAACATTCATTTCTCAGCACTTTGTGCTTGTTACAATACAATGTACCTGAGTGCTGGCCACATGGTGTGGTATTTGTCAGGCAGACTGCAGTGTATAACAGGCCATGCCACCAGTGATCAGCAACAAGTAACAAAGAACACAACCAGTTTCAGTTTATGTTATTCCAGATTGTTTTCCTTTATGATTAAAATTGGTACAACATTAATATTTTACGGATGCAATTGATCTTTAACAAGAGAGTAACTATTTCTTTCACCAACCTTTGGCACGTTAGGATAAGACTGTGAGGTGAACAATGAGAATGTGCCACTTGTTCTGTGTGAAGGCCCCAGATATGAGGCAGTCTTTCAAAACAGGTACAACTAAGTTTGACAAACTTGAGAAAGTCTTGGGCTATTTCTGACATTTCTTGCACAGAAGCAGGAATTGAATAATCTGGAGAGTGGGGGGCTAACCAGCCCTTCACAGTGTCAGCTGTGGCTCAGTTCATAGTTTGATGGCCTCCGAGTTAAAAAGGTTGCGGGTCCAAATGGCACAGTACTTGAGCACATAATGCTGGGTGACATTCCAATGCAGTACTGAGGGTGCTCAGCACAGTTAGAAATGTAATCCTTCACATGATACAGTCAGCCAAGGGCTTAACCTTCTTTTGCAGTTAGTCATAAAGGATTCTACGCCATTTTTTAAGCAAAGCAAGGGAGATTTTTTGGTGTCCTGGCCAATATTTATAACTCAACCAAAACCTCTTCTGGTTATTTATTTGTTGCTGTTTGTGGGAGTTTACTGCGGTCTAACTGGCGGCTGTATTTCTTACAGTACAATAGGCAGTATGCTTTGAAAGTACTTCATTGGCTGTAAAATGCCATGGGATATCCTGACAAACCGTATAGATTTCACATTTGCATTATACAGCATCTATATGAGAATTTTAGAAAATAATTGTACAGTCAGAATATTGTTATAACCAGTATGATTTATAGAGCTTTAGCAATTTATGTATAGATTATAATCGGTGTTGGAGGGTGCTAGGAACGTCCATACGGTTATCAGCAATTACAATATGTTTAATTGGGAAATGTGGATGTTGGAGGATATTCACTATCCTGTGCAAAATGCCCTCAAAACATATTGGGGATAGCTGCTTTCTTGAATTGCTGCAATCTGTGCGCTAATGGAATTTTCACAAGGGTGATAGGGAATTCCAAGACATTGACCAAGCAACAACGGGCTGAATCTTAACACACAAAGATCAGTGAGTAGATTCTTGCGAGTTGTTAAAATTGTAAAGTTCTGAAACAAGATTCCAACTTCCAAATTACGGTTTAAATGGGTGCAGAACAGGGGATGGTTAGCCAACCACTCCAAGAAGGTCTGTTAAAAGTTCAAACATTTTAAGAGCTGGCAATTTTTGATTTAACTTGTGTCCAAAGCCTTGGGACACCAACTAGTTGAAGGGAGCTGGGAACAGCTTCAAGAAGGTAAACACCTTGTCTACACTGCTTGTGGGCAAGGAGAAGCAGGATCCAGACAAAGCTCCCTGGGACTAGGGACCAAGTCATTCTCCCTCTTGGGTAAAAAAATGAGTGTTCTTGCAGCCTGTGGCCTGATCTAACCCTGTCAATCAGGCTGATTTCAAGTGGGAAATACTAATTAAAGGTCTACAACATAATGGGGAAATTCAGAACTTTGGCATTTCCTTGCTATGTTACTCAGCTCTGTTAACATGTTGTCTATGGAGCAGCAGCAATAAAATGTCCAAGTCAGGATCGTTTATGAATTGAGGGTTGGAAAGCTTGGAGGTGATAAAGCTTCCAGAACTTTGCTTCTTGTCTTTCACAGTGATGTAGGTCACAATAACGCTGGTACATTATAGAATCATAGATTCAATGAATAGTTACAGTACAGACAAGACCTGGTCTGTCAACCATATGCCAGCTCTCTCAAGTTCTGCTCCCCTGCTTTTCCCCGTAGCCCTGCAATTTTGTTTACAGATAATTATCCAATTACATTTTGAAAACCATGATTGAATCAGATTCCACCACACTCTCAGCAGTAACTTTCAGACTGTAATCATTTACTATATACATTTATTCATCATGATTCTTTTGTCAATTGCCTTAGCTCATTGTTCTCTAGTTCTCGATCTTTCCATCAATGGGAAACAGTTTCTCCCTGTCTATGCTGTCCTTGTCATTTAGACCTTGTCAATGAAATTTTCTCTTAGTCTTTCCTTCATCACGGAAAACAATCTCAGCTCCTCTAATCTATTCATAGAACTGAAAATCTTCATCCTGGAATCATTTTTATTAATCTTTTCTGCATTCTTTCCAATGCCATTACCTCGTTCTTAAAGTTCTTACTACTACTGGACACAATACATAGGTTGACACAGAAGCAGTTTTAACCAAGTTCATACCTTCCTTGCTTTTGTATTCTATGCACCTATTTATAAAACCCAGTATCCATAGCATTTATTAAACGCTTTCCCAACCTGCCCTGCAATCTTAAATGATTTGTACACATAATCCCCTAGATCACTCTACTTCTGAACCTCCTTATGAATACCCTTTATTTTATATTACCTCTCTATCTTTCTACAGGTATGAATAACTTCATATTTCTCCTCATTAGATTTCAAGTTCCACCATCGCACTCATTCCACCAGCCTGTCCAAGTTCTTTTGAAGCTTCTCCTCCTCACATTTCACAGTTGTACATTATGTAGTTTACACATGCTATTGTCATTGTTCTTGATGAATAGAGTGTGAATTGAATTTACTGGCAGCATTACTGAGGATGTGATAAATTGGATGATTGTAGTGTATTGCATATTGAAGGGTTGGGAAATGACATATTGGAGCATAGTGTATTGAGGAATGTAGGTATTTGAGAATGTGATATTTAGAACAATGTTAAATTGTAGGATTTAGAATATTGGATGATGGAGTAAGGAAAAACTTACAATTTTGTCAGACACTTTAGCACCTCAGAATATCTCAAAGCATCTTGCAGAAAATTAAATGTTTTTTTTAAATGTTCCTGTTCTAAAAATATAAACAGGAAAAGATAGCAATCAATTAGCTCACCAAAACTCCCACAAAGATCAATAAAATAATAATCTGACAATCAGTTTTAGTATTGCCAGGTAAACAACAAACATTGGCCAACACATCAGCTCTTTTGCAAATAGTGTAATGGGATCATTTACATCCATTTGAAGGGCAGAGGGACCTTTTTACCAATGTTCTAGATGAAATGTGGTCAAGTCTCTGATTTGGACTGGAACCAGCAACTTTTCACTGAGGTCGTAGTGTTATTACTGAGGCAAGACTGACTTCTTTATCTGAGGGTGCTATATCTCACATGGTGGGCCATGACAGAAGATGTGGTATATCAAAAGGAGCAGAATATTGGAGGTGCTCAGTATCAGTGGGTGCAATGTCTCAAAGGTTGAGGAGAGTAAAGCAATGGATGCAGTATATTAGAGAATGAGAGGGTATCTCAGAGGGTAATGCTATATTGACAGGTGCGATATTAAAGGAGATAGTATGTTGGACAAAGTCAGAAGTTGCACGACACCAGGTTAAAGTCAAACAAGTTTATTTGAAATCACACAACCTTCAGAGCACAGCCCCTTCGTCAGGTGAAGTGAGGGAGCGCATGGACACAGAATTTAATCAAGGGCAGAGAGATCAAAAAATCATACAACTGGTGTGGAGCGTTGAATATGGAGTGTTGAATAATAAGTCTCTGCAGGTGACCAAGAGCGTTAGACGGTATGAATAAAGTGTCAACAGCTGAATAAGAAGCGAAGGAATGACCTATAATCCAATTAAATGAGGCAGAGAGATAATTACAAAAAATTAAAAATAAGGTCATGCAGGAGACAAACTAAATGACTGGAATAACATGATAGGTATAAGAGTTGGAAACCGAGGGTCTAACCAAAGTAATAAGTAATCCAAAACTGTACAAACTAATTAAGATTTCAAATAAACCTGTTGGACTATAACCTGGTATTGTGTGACATCTGACCTTGTCCACCCCAGTCCAACACCGGCACCTCCACAGTATGGTGGAGGTAGACGAGAGTATGTCAGAGGGTATGGTATATTGGAGAGCGAGGAGGATGTGTTGGAAGGTACAGTATCTTGGACAGTAGAATGTATTGGAGGGCGAGGAAGGTATATTAAAGGGTGAAGAGGGTAAATATCAGAAGGTGAAGATGTTATATGTTGGACGGTGATGGGGGTATATCAGAGAGCACTGCATATGGGAGGTTAGGGTGAGTATATTGGAAGGTAAACTATACTGCAGCACTGTTATTACAGATTGTCTGGCAAGGTGATCAAAGAAATACTGAAAAGGAAATGTTTCATTAGGCTGAAGGTTGCATGTCAGACAAAAGGGTTTTACAATGTTAACGTGCTTTGCAAAATCTAATTGAAATTGGATATTTTCAAACCACAGTTCAAAATACACAACGTTAACAGATAACTTGCTGCATGCCAAATGCTTTGTCTGTTATAAAACTCCTGGAACCTGTCCATATTTACACTCTGCGTTCAGCACAGCTGTCAGGCTTACATAGACCACCACATTTTGTCTCATATGTTAGTCATAACAGGCGAAAAGAAAAGAGGTATGGTGGACTTCAATAAGAATAGCCAGCCAACCAATGGATAGGACACGGGGAGTATGTGCCTTTGTCAGATACTACATGGGCTCTGCAATCAGACAACAAAGCTAATATTGCAGTCTGACCTTCAGCCCAGCGAAAGGAATCATGACCACATTTAGAAAAGGATTGAGCAATTTTAAAAGCATATTCAGCCAACAACTTTGTTTTGTTGTGCTGACTAAGATGTAGTTTCCAGCCTCTAGTCCCCTCCTCACAGTCTAATGCCCTTCAGCATCTTCTGAAAGGTAAATATTTTGAACCAAAGTGTATTTACATTGTGGCCCATGATGCTTCTCACAGAGTTTTTTTTTCTGAATGAGTCAGTCAGGCTTTCCCACATTTCCCTTTTTTCTCTTTACGTTGGAATTTCCGCAGTCTTCTTGTCCACACATCTCGCCACTGAATGACAAGGCTGTTCTTATCTGCCACTAGGCCTCCAAGCCTCTCAGCCACGCTGTCAGTGTTCCCCATCACTAGGTACTTTTTGGTCATTTGGATCTTTGGGCACTTGCATGCCAAGTCTTTCATATTAATCCATAGGAACTGGTCTGCCCGTTTAATCTTTTCATCTCTGCTTCGAAAAACAGACACAATATTCACGGTGAACTTTGCCCATTCATTTACTGTCTCCATATCTAGAACATTAACCTGAACAGCTGGAAAAAGATAAGAGAGGTTAGTCAGCTTTCAATGTGGACACACTTGAGAGTTACAAGGCATCTGACAATCATTAACAATTCTTCACTAGCATCCAAAAAAACATTTCAGAAGAATTCTAAGCCTGTTTCCTGACAAAAAAAAGTCTTTAGAAATGAATAAGAATATTTTTCAGATCCCTCATTAGTTTTCTATTTTTATACTAACTGGCACCATCTGTTGAAAGCCTTATTACATCTTGAGCTGGTCTACAGCTGCTACATAGTCAGTTGGTAAGAGGTGGATAGCACAACGCTAGACCCCAACTTTGAGCTGGTGTGCAACAACACTTTTAAACCAGGAATAAGGAAACCTATCTCATCACTGTGGGAAATCACACAGCCTAACTGATGTTCTGTCAATATGGGATAGGATATTGATTAGGGCAGTAATTACCTAATGGTGATCAAATTATATCAATTTATTGCTATTTGTGCCATGTATACACTAAGAAAAATAGTTTTTAATTCTGTCTTTTTATCATATTTTCCCCACAGTTTAATCATTTAGTGGCTCTTGTGATAATGTTGCAGTGTCACTGCCTCTGGGCCAGAAGGTCTAGGTTCAAGTCCCAAGTGCCCCAGAAATGTCATAACATATTTGACTGAGTTGATGAAATAAAATCTACATCTATTTACAGGTGCACGGTTATGTTTGTATGTTCTTTCCCTCCAGTCACACTTTGTTTATCATTATCCATATCGCTACTCTGCATCGTTGCCCGCTCTCTTTAATTTTCCACACATCCCCTCATCTGAGTTTCTCAACACCCATTCCTCCCAACACCATCCCCCCCCCCCCCCACCCAATTATTTAGCTTCTTTACAGTCTTGGTGCCTTGATTTCTATATGACACCTTCCCTTCTCTGGAGAAAACAGCACAGGCTGTTCAGTCTCTCCTGGGTTATAACCTCTCAATTCTGAATCATAGAAATTTGCATTACATAAGAGAGATGTTTCACCCACCAGTATTGGCCTGAGCTGGCTCTTTGAAAAATCATTCACCCTTGGTCCAACAGCCCAGAATTGTGGCTGTAATCCATGTAGAGAACAGACAGGAAGTGAAGTTGAAACCATGATCAGGTCAGCCATAATCGTATTGAATGGCAGGAGTAGCTTAAAGTCCACTCATACTCATAATTCTTCTGTTCCAAAATGTTTATATTGTGATGCCCTTTGTGGTGGCATTAACCTGTTATTTTCTTTTGTGTGATGTCCCTTTCTTAGCAAAGTAGTTTTCTGAAGGTAGATTGATTAATTTTCTGATTACGACATAATTGGTTTTCAAGAAATGACCATGTGACCTGGGTTGCCATAGGGATGAACAGCTAAGGTGCAGAGTGTAAATAGCTAATTGCAATGAGTGGCTTTTTGTCTGTTTGGTATTGGAGAAAACAAGGAATTTATGAAAAGAGACAACAAGCAAAGTTCTTGCTGAAACAGAGAACTGTTCTCTGTCAGTCTTAAAACAGATCTTGCTCTTGAAACAAGTCTTAGAAAGAACACAATGGGTTTGTGTGCTGTACAGTGGGAAAGGACAGAACTATAATAGGAAAACTAAAGACAGAAGAGTGAGAGAGTGTGGTTTGGTGCTGTCGAAGTGTTGAAGAGGCCACCAGAGTATTTAAAGGGGTCAGGTGAGGGAATTTCTAGGAATTAAGTACCATTGGGATTATCGTGACCTGGGGGAGGGTCATAGACCTATGGCTTGCTGGTGGTAACTCTGTCCAGGGATGTTAGAATGGAATACGGCTATTGGTGAAAATAACTTAAGAGCCAAAATGATTTAATGGCAATTAGGCTTCCTTCAAAACAGAAGCTGTGTTGAAAAAACTGAGATTACATGTGATCATATGCTTCTGCAGGAAGTATTGCAAAGCCTTGTAACTGAATGAGGTGCATCCTTTTATTGACAAGTTAAAGCAAATTTTACGTTTTCAAAAATATTCTTCGCCTCTTTATAAATGTTTGAATCATTAAAAATGAAATCATGTCCAGTGGAGTTCTTTCAGTTGTCACTGTAGTGATTCCTTTCTTTTACCAATTAAAAGTTTTCAGTCTCGACAAGGATAAGTAGAAATATGCCTTTAAATTATAACCTCCTTCTGAATTGTATTATTTCTTACATCTTTGTATTGATTTCTACCCACTGTGCTTCTGCACATTTCACCATGCTACCTGTCCCAAAGCCCAGAATCATCTCATCAATATTTATTATGCTGGCAAGTTTTGTAACATCTACAAACTTTATAATGCTGTTCCCTCCACCCCAAGTCCAGATAATTTATAAAAATTGAAAAGAGTAATGAACCCAAAACTAACCCTCGGGAATGCTGCTACAAAGCTCCCTGTCTGGAAAACATCCATCCACCAACACTCTCTGCTCCCTGTCACTGAGCCAATTCTGTATCCATTCCAGGACATTTTCCTTAATTCAATGGATTCCATTTTCCGATCACTATTGATACCCTATTTTAATGCATTTTATAACACAAACATACAAATTAGGAGCAGGAATAGGCTAATCAACTTCTTGAGCCTGCTTTGATATTTGACAAGGTTGTGGCCGATCTAATCGTAGTCTTTTCCCCTGAGAGAAAAAAGAATTCACTTCATCTCTATCTTAAATGGGAGATGCTTTATTTATTGACCTCTGTTTCAATTGTACTTAACAACTGAGCATCCACAACTCTTGGGTAGAGAATCCATAACCTTTGGATGAAGAAAGGTCTCCTAATTGTAATCCAGATGGTAAACCCTTTATTCTGAGATTGTGACCCCATGCTGTAGGTTCCCTATCCAAAGGAAATATTTCCTCAGCACTATCTACCCTTTCAAGCTTCTTAAGAATTTATGTTTCAATGAAATACCCATTCATTCTTTTAAACTTTAGGAAAATATGCCCAGACTGCACATGGAGTCATAGGGTCTTAGAGTTACACAGCATGGAAACAGATCCTTCAGTTCAACTAGTCCATGCCAACCAAGTTTCCCAAACTAAACTAGTCCCATTTGCCTACGTTTGGCCCTTACCCCGTGAAACCTTTCCTGTTCATGTACCTGTTAAATTGTCTTTTAAATGTTATAACTGTACCTGCATCTACCACTTCCTGCAGAAGTTCATTCCACACACAAATCACCCTCTGTGTGAAAAAGTTGCCCCTTAGGTCCCATTTTAAAACTTTCTCCTCTCACCTTAAAAATATGTCCCCTAGTTTTGAACTCCCCCACCCCAGGTAAAAGACCTTTACCATTCATCTTATCTACACCCCGCATGTTTTTATAAACCTCTGTAAGGTCATTCCTCAACCTTCTACACTCCAGTGAAAATGGTCCCAGCCCATCTTTATAACTCAGACCCTGAGTCCTGGCAATATCCTGGTAAATCTTTTCTGAACTCTTTTCAATTTAATGATATCTTGCAATATCTAGCAATATCTTTCCGATAGTAGGGTAACCAGAACCGTACATCAGTATCCAAAAGTGGCCTCGGCAAAGTCCTTTTACAACCTCAATATGACATCCGTATGTCAAAGGGCTGAGCAATGAAGGCAAGCATGCTAAATGCTTTCTTAACCACCCTGTCTACCTGTGACACAAATTTCAAAGAATTATGTACCTTAACCCCTTGGTCTCCCTGTTTGAAACACTACCCAGGGCCCTTCCTTTAACTCTATAAGTCCTGCCCTTGTTTGTTTTACCAAAATGCAATACATCATATTTATTCAAATTAAACTTCACCTACCATTCCTCAGCCCACTGGCCTAATTGATCAAGATCCCTTTGTAATCTTAGAAAACCTTATTTACTGTTTAGTTTACAACCAATTTTGGTGTCATCTGCAAACTTACTAACCATACCTCCTAAATTCTAAACCAAATTGTTTATATAAATGAAAAACAAATGTGGACCCAACACTGATCCCTTTGGAGCACTGCTGATCACAGGCCCCCAACAAGAAACAACTCTCCACCACCACCCTTTGTCTCCTGCCATAAAGCCAATTTTGTATCCAGTTGGCAAGCTCTCTCTGAATCCCATGTGATCTAATTTACTAATTAGTCTACCATGTGGAACCTTGTCAAAGGCTTTACTAAAGCCCATGTAGACGATATCTCCTTCTCTGCCCTCATCAATCTTTTTGGTTACGTCCTCAAAAATCTCAATCAAGTTTGTGAGACACAATTTCCCATGCACAAAACCAAGCTGACTGTCCCTAATTAGTCCATGCCTTTCCAAATGCATATAAATCCTATCTCTCAGAAATCCCTCCACAACTCACCCACCACTGATGTCAGACTCACAGGCCCATCATTCCTATGCTTCTCCTTACAGCTTTTCTTAATTAAATGCACAACATTAGCCACCCTCCAGTCCTCCAGCAGCTCACTCGGAGCTGTAGATTATATTAATATCGCAGTAATTTCTTCCCTTCCAACTTCTCACAATGTCCTAGAATACACTGGATCCAGTCCTGGGGATTTATCCATCTTTATGTTTGTTAAGACCTCCAACACTTCCCCTTTTGTAACGTGAACTGTTTTCAAGACATTGACATTTATTTCCCTGAGTTCTCTAGCCTCCATTTCTTTCTCCACAGTAAAAACTGGTGCGAAATATTCATTTAGTATCTTTCCTATCTCCTGAAGTCCAACACATAGACGACCTTGTTGATCTTTAAGGTGCCCTATTCTCTCTCTTGTTGGTCTTTTGCTCTTAACGAATTTGTAGAATTTCTTTGGATTATCCTTAACCTTATCTACCAAGGTTATGTCATATCCCCTTTTTGCCCTCCTGACTTCCCTCGTAAGAATGCCCCTACACCCCTTACACTCTTGAAGAGATTCACTTGATCCCAGTTGTCTATATCTAATATATGACTCCTTATTCTTGACCAGAGCTTTAATATCTTTCTTCAGCCATTGTTCCCTACACCTACCAGCCTTACTCTTCACTCTAACAGGACGATAATGCCTCTGGACTCTCATGGTCTCACTTTTCAAAGCCTCCCACTCACCAGTCGCCTATTTACCTGCAAACAGTCTACTCCAATCAATTTTTTAAGGTTCCTGTCTCATGCCATCAAAATTTGCCTTACTCCAATTAAGAACTTTAACTTTTAAACAAGGCCTATCCTTTCCCATAACTATTTTAGAACTAATAGAATTATGATCACTGTTCCCAAAGTGCTCTCCCCACTAACACTTCAGCCATTTACTCCTCGAGTTGACAGTCTGCATATTAATAAAGGAAGTTTTTTGAGCATGTTTAACAAATTCCACATCATCCACGCCGTTAATCATTATGGCAGTTCCAGTCAATGTTTGGAAAGTTAAAATTCTCTACTATTACAACTTTATTATTATTCTTATCTATCTTATATTTCTCTACATATTTGCTCCTGAATTTCCCTCTGACTATTGTGGTCGGGGGGGGTGGGGCTTATAATATGATCTCATCAAGGTGATCATCCCCTTCCTATTTCTGAATTCCACCCATATAGCTTCACTGGACGATCCCTCAGAAATATCCTAATTATAGCAGTAATGTTTTCCTTAATCAAAAATGCCACTGCCACTCCTCTCTTGCCTCCCTTTCTATCCTTCCCATAGCACCTAACATTGAGCTGCTAGTCCTGTCCCTCCCTCAGTCATGTTTGTGTAATAGCTATGATGTCCCAGTCCCATGTTCTTATATATGCCCTGAGTTCATCTGCCTTACCTGTAAGATGCCTTGCGTTGAAATAAATGCAGTCTAATTGTTCAGAATTACTTTGTTCTCCGACTTTCTTTTGCCTGCCTTTGTTTTTAATTTGGTCTTTTTTAATTCAGAACCATCCTCATTTGTCTTTCTATTCTCTATAATACTTAGGATGCCCTCACTCTCCTCCCTACTTGTTTAAAGCCTCCTGAAGAGCACGAGCAAATCTTCCCACTCAAATATTGGTCCCCTTCCAGTTCACTCTGGTTATTTCTCTCTCAAACAGAGATACTGTTTTGGGTACTGTTGAAGGGGATAGTCTCTCAGAGGGAAATAGATGTAGTAGCCAGATCTCAGGCACCAAAAATGAATCTTATGTTAAGCGTGGTTTGTCAGGATTCAAACAAGTAGTTGTTCTATGTGATTGTCCTGTCAGGGGCACAGGCAGGAGATTCTGCGGCCATGGGCATGAAGTCAGGATGGTGTGAACCTCCCTGGTGCCTGGGTCAAGGACATCTCAAAGCAGTTGCAGTATATTGTATAAGGGGAGATTGAGAAGCTGGAAATTGTTTTACACATTGATCAGAATGACGTAGTTAGGGAAAGGGTTGAGTGTTTTCAGAGTGAATACAGGAAGTTAGCTAGGACGTTAAAAATCAGAACCTCAAATGTAGTAATCTCTGGATTACTCCTGGAGCCATGTCATGGTGAGGGTAGGAATAAGAAGATGGGACAGATAAATCAATGGCTGAGGAGATGGTGCAGTGGGCAAGAATTCACATTTTTGGATCATTGGAATCTCTTCCGGGGCAAAAAAGACCTGTTCAAAAGGGACAGGTTTCAACTTAGTAACTTATCAAGTACCTTCCTCAAGTAAAACTGCAGACAATTTTTCAGGTGTGGTCTGACCAGTGCACAGCATAATTGAGGTAAGTCTTCTTTATTCAGGATACTTCAATCCCTCTGTAACCAAAAATTCACATACCTTTCCTAATTGCTCGCTACCTGCATATTAATATTTTATGACTCATGTACAAGCATATCTAGTCTCCACTGAGTGAAAACATTTCTTAGTCTCTTACTATTCTACAAATGTTTTGCTCCTACTAATTTGAAGAACTTCACACTTCAGCATAGTATATTTCATTTTGTCTCCTCAGCCAACCTGTGTCCCGTTAAAGCCTCTTTGCATACTCTTTCTGGTTTACTTTCCAACCTAGTTTTGCATAGTTAGCAAACGTGGATATGTTCACTCAGTCTTCTCATCTAAATTATTGATCATTTTAAAAAAAATTCATTTATGGGATGTGGAAATCGCTTACTGGGCAGAAGTTTATTACCCATCGCTAGACTGTGAATGGCTAAGGCCTATGTATTGAATCTTGCACTTCCTCACTAGTTTAAGCTTGAAGCTTGAAAATGTTCTGCTTATTAACTTGTCTCTCCTGCCCATTAACTAAGCCTAAATCTATGCAAATACATTGTCCCAACTCACATGTTAACTCTGTGTAACCCCATAAGTGACACCTCATTGAAAATCCAATTACTTCATTGGTTTCCTGTATCCATCTCATCATTACTTCCCTAAAAAAAATGAATAAGTTTGTCAAGCACAATTTCCCTTTCATAAATCTATATTCATTGTAGTTAGTCATATTTAAATTTTCTAAATTTCTAGAAAAAGATTCTAGAAGTTTGTCTACTACTGATTTTTATTTGTAGCCTATAATTTCTTCATCAAGCCTCTTCCCTATTGAAATCTAAGGAGTGACCTCCTTAGTCTTCCTTGTAAAATTCACCACCTCATCTCTAGGTACATTGGAGTCAATTTGCAAAGTACGTGCCAATTTTACAAATGTAATAATATATTCAAAGAATCAGGAGTCACTGGGGAGAGAAGGAGGCTAATTGACCCATTGAATCTATATCAGCTCTTTGTAGAGTAAGCTAGTAAGTCCCATTTAAAGACTTTATTGAGTTTGAATTTGATTTATTGTTGTCACATGTACGGGGATACATGAAGTGTTGTTTTGTGTGCTATACAGGCAGATCGTACCATATAAAGTGCATCAGTGGGGCAGAAAAGAGGGCAGTATTACAGCTGAAGAGAGACATCAGAAATAATATTTGAGAGGTCCATTCAAAAATCTGATAGAAGCTGGGCAGAAGCTGTTCGTGAATCTGTTTGTACATGTATTCAAACTTTTATATCTTCTACCTGACAGAAGAAGATGGAAGAGAGTAAAACCAGGGTAGAAGGGATCTTTGATTATGCTGGTTGCTTTCCCGAGGCAGCAGGAAGTATAGATGGAGTCAAGGGATAGAAAGCTGGTTTGTGTGATGGACTAAGCTGTGTTCATGAGTCTGTAGTTTCTTGTGGTCTTGGGAACCGCAGTTGCCATACCATGCTATGATGCATCCAGATAAGGTGCTTTCTATGGTGCACCAATGAAAATTGGTAAGAGTCCTTGTGGACTTTATCTGTGTAGACCTGCAAGTTTATTTTACTCATTTGCCAATCCAAATTGGTTTCCTTTCCTGCAATTATGCAGTTTCAAAATGGGGGGAGTTTATCCAAGGTGCTTGGAAATGGTTTTGGGGATGGGTAGAAAGCATGTTTAGTGACATATGGCCCAGTTTGCTAAGACGTTCCCATCTTCATCTGCTTTCCATTGGTTAGGTCTAATGATGGCAACCTGAATGTCTGCAATGAAAAGCTAATTAAAGCAGTTGGTGGATCAATTTTATCAGTGTTGCAGAGGACCCTCTTACGTTTTGTTGTAGTTTTCCTCCATTTTAACTATTCCCAACCAACACCATACCAGCACGGGCCATAAAATTTGGTATTGCACTTTGTGTTCATGACTTCAATTTGTTCATGTAAATGGTGAACAACAGTTGTCCCAGCACTGACCCTTTTGAAAGACACTTCCTACCTTTAGCCTACCTGAGTAATTCTACTTAACCCCTGCTCTATTTAGTTTTGCAACCAGCTTGCTAACTATTCTAAGATCTGTCCTGAGTTTATGTGCTCAGACTTCGGTAATGATCCCAGGTGGTACTTTATCAATGGCCTTTGATTAAAAAAAAACAAATTGTCTACATTACCCTGGTACATTCTTTATGTTATTTCATCAAAGAGCTAATAACATTGGTCAAAAATGATCATTTTGAGCTCTATGCTGACTAGTTATTATGAGTATGGTTTCTAGATGTTTTTATTAAAGATATTCCATTGGAGAATGGCAAGAAATGATCACCATCCTTCTCTGTGCAGTTACAGGATTAATATTGTAATGTTACTCAGAGCAAGCATTAATTCCAGCATTATTTGCAACAAATGAGGAGTAATAGGTGATAAAAGGTTGTTTACCATAGTCTTTCTTGCAGTACTTTTTCATGTTGATCTTCAGGTTTCCTTTCACTGGTTTGCAGTAGGATTCACAGTCTGAGAAGGAGATAAAAGGAACATAAACATATGGGTGATACAATGTCTTTGGCCTCACCTTCCATGTATTAATGACACAATGCTATATATTTCCATTTCCCCTTGAGTTTCAGCCTATGCTCAATTCTCTTTAATATCATGAAATATGTAAAATCCTCTTGATGAACCTTCCATTAAAAACAGATTAGAAGATGTAGCTCTCCACACCTTGTGCTATAGCCGACAAATAGTCAGTTATCTCTAATTATTTTTCAATGATTTTTTAAAAAACTCTTTACTATTGTTATCTTGCTCCCAAAAAGAACTTGCAGTTTTACTGGCACACACCGTGTCCTATAAATGCACCTTTTGTTAGAGGCAGCTGCACTGAGCCTGAAGGTATTTGTGTGGCTTATTCACATTACAGGCATTGCACCATTTGCCAAGCTTTGTTCGGCATTAATTACTGGACCTTTCACTCATAATTTGTCATTAATAAGCTCAATGCTGCCTGGTGAAAAAAGAGCGAGTGATTGATACCTGGACAGTTCCCTTCTTTCACTGCTAGTAAATCTGCAAGCTTCTGATGTGGTGTGAGTCGCTGCTGTTACATCTTTCAGCTGAAGCCAATTTGTGCTCAGTTTCCTTGCACTATGATGCTGGGATGACAGTACTGCTATGGGTGATACCGTATGAAACAGCTTACTTTCCAATGCTTCCTTTCCCTTTTTAATGTCATCTTTCCCTCTCCTCAGTTAAAGGTGGTATGGTGCAGACCAGGGCCACTCAAGGATGGTTCCATGGATAGAGGGTCTTGTCCCATGACTATTGGGCTCTGGTCCCATGGGTTCTGGACATGCTTCTGGATCTGACTGTTGTTTTTATTCTTTATATCCAAGTCTGATAGTAAATGTTTCAGGCTGTAGAGTTAAGGAGAGACTCTCTCCAGCCACCATCAGCACACTCACTTTCCGACAGAGAAACCTGACTTATGATGAGGGATGGGAATTCTGGCTGATCTCCAACTCTCTAATCTAGAAATAATGGAATTATTTGTGACAAACTACAATCTCTTACCAATTAGGTTGCACAAAACTGAACAGTGGAAATCATTAACAACAACGAAGGCATCAGAGATTATTATTATGTTATCTGCCTGAAATAAAGGAAAGATCAAATGTGGCATAATGATTCATAATACTATAAACTAATTTCCTCATAACTTTTAAACATAAAGGCTGGATGACTGATGGGATCAAACATTGCATTTTCACAATTTTGGGCCTGTAGCAACCGAGACTCCTGGATAATAGTTTTTCAAAATATTCATTCACAGAATGAGAGAGTAATTGGCTTAGCCAATATTTATTGTCCATCTCTGATTTTCCACAGGAAGGTGGTGAGGAGCCACTTTCTTGGACTGCTGCAATCCATACAATGTACATATACCCGTGGTGCTGTGAGGAAGGGAGTTTCAGGATTTTGACCCAGTGACTGTAAACAGGAGGCAATATAATTCAAAGTAAAAATGGTTTATGACCCGGAGAAGTTGTATTCCCACGCATCTGCTGCCTTTGGGGTACTATATGGTGGAACTCATGTTTGCCTTGTGCCATTAAAGGAACCTTGGTGAGTTGCTACAGTGCATCTTGGAAATGGTACTGTGGTGAAGTGAGTAAATTTTCAAGGTGGTGGATGGGCTACCCTCAAGTAGGGTGCTTTGCCCTGGATGGCACCGAGCTTCCTGAGTATTGTCGGAGCTGCACACATCCAGGCTGGTTAAAACGTTATATCACACTCCTGACTTGTGCCTTGTAGCTACTGTATGCATTGGAGAATCTCAAAGAATGAGAGTCACTGTCAAATTCCCATCCTCTGACCTACTCCTGTAGCTATAATATTTATGGCTCAGTTAAGCTTTTAATATGGACATTGAGGATTCAACGATTGTGACACAATTGAATGTTTCTTGTTGAAAATGGTCATTACATCCACTTGTGTGACATGGGTGTTATTTGCTATCTATCAGCTGAAGCCTGAATGTTGTCTAGGTTTTGCTCTATGTGGGAATGGATACTTCATTGTCTGAGGAGTGACAAATGGAACTGAGTACAATTCAAACATCAGCAAACATTCTCACTGCTACTCTCACAATGGAAAGAAGGTCATTTATGAAGCAATGTAAGATGGTTGGGCATGTGACACATCCAGAGAAATTCCTGCAGTGATGTCCTGGTGCTGAGATGATTGGCCTTCAACAACCACAGTCATTTTCTTTTGTCTCATGTAAGGCTCCAACAAATGAAGAGTTTTCTCCCTGATTCCCATTAACTTTAATTTTACTCAAGCTTTTTTGTACTTGACCAAATGCTACCTTGATGTCAAGGGCATTCACTGTCAGCTCACCAATGGAATTCAGCTCTTTTGTCTATGATTGGATCATGGTTTTAATGAGGTCTCCAGCTGAGTACTCATTGTTGGAATCCAAACTAAGCAGATAAGCACAGCAGATGTTGAGATCAAAAAAAAAAATCTGGAATTAAAAGACTAATGATGGATTTGAAATCATTTCTGATTTTTGGAAAAATTCCTCTGATTGACTAATGCCCAATTAGGGAAGGAAATCTGCCACCTTTACCTAGTCTGACCTACATATGACTCCAGACCTACAAAAATGTAGTTGATTCTTAATTGCCCTCTGAAATGGCCTATCAAACCACTTAGTTGTATCAGAGAAGAATGAAACTGAATAGACCACCTGTCATCAACTAAGGCACTGAAAACAACAAAGGCAAGCACAACCTCATTGACCCTGCGAAGTCCTCCTGACTAACATCTGGGAGTTGTGCCAAAATGGGGAGGGCTGTTTCAGAGACAAGCCAAGCAACAGCCTGATGTAGTCACACTCACTTACAGACAATGTCCCATTCATCATCATCACCATCCCAGAGTATGTTGTATCTCACCAACAGGACAGGCCCAACAGAGGGGGTAGCACAGCAGCATATAGTCAGGAGGGAGTTGTCTAGGGAGCCTTAAAATTGACTTTGGACCCCATGAAGCTCATGACATCAAATCAAACATAGCAAGGAAACTTGATGATTGCCATGCATTACCTTCCATCAGCTGATTACTCTGTGCTCCACCATGCTGAACACCTCTTGGAGGAAGCATTGAGAGTGGTAAGGGCACAGAATGTACTCTGGGTGAGGGGCTCCAATGTCAAGTGTGGCTCAGCAGTAGTACTATTGATTAAGCTGGCCAGGTCCTGAAGGACATAACTGCTAGACTGAGTCTACAGGAAACAACAAGAGTGAAAAACACATTTGACCTCATTCTCAGAGATAGTAGGAACTGCAGATGCTGGAGAATCCGAGACAACAAGGTGCAGGGCTGGATGAACACAGCAGTCCAAGCAGCATCGTAGGAGCAGAAAGGCTGACGTTTCGGGTCTAGACCCTTCATCAGAAAAGGGGGAGGGGAAGGGGGTTCTGAAATAAATAGGGAGAGAGTGGGAGGCGGATAGAAGATGGATAGAGGAGAGGATAGGTGGAGAGGAAACAAACAGGTCGAAGAGGCGGGGATGGAGCCAGTAAAGGTGAGTGTAGGTGGAGAGTTAGGTCAGTCCAGGGAGGACGGACAGGTCAAGGGGGCGGGATGAGGTTAGTAGGAAGGAGATGGGGGTGCGGCTTGAGGTGGGAGGAGGGGATAGGTGGGAGGAAGAACAGGTTAGGGAAGCGGGGACGAGCTGGACTGGTTTTGGGATGCGGTAGGGGGAGGGGAGATTTTGAAGCCTGTGAAATCCACATTGATACCATTGGGCTGCAGGGTTCCCAAGCAGAATATGAGTTGCTGTTCCTGCAACCTTCGGGTGGCATCGTTGTGGCACTGCAGGAGGCCCAGGATGGACATGTCGTCAGAGGAATGGGAGGGGGAGTTGAAATGGTTCGCGACTGGGAGGTGCAGTTGTTTATTGCGAACCGAGCGTAGGTGTTCTGCAAAGTGGTCCCCGAGCCTCCGCTTGGTTTCCCGGATGTAGGGGAAGCCACACCGGGTACAGTGGATGCAGTATACCACATTGACAGATGTGCAGGTGAACATCTGCTTGATGTGGAAAGTCTTCTTGGGGCCTGGGATGGGGGTGAGGGAGGAGGTATGGGGGCAGGTGTAGCACTTCCTGCGGTTGCAGGGAAAAGTGCCGGGTGTGGTGGAGCTGGAGGGGAGTGTGGAGCGGACAAGGGAGTCACGGTTTTTTTTTTTTTTTTTTTTTTTTTTTTTTTTTTGGGGGAGGGAAAGATGTCTTTGGTGGTGGGGTCGGATTGCATTTTTTTTTTTGGGATGTGGGAGACACGGTTGAGGGCGTTCTCGACCACTGAGGGGGGGGAAGTTGACCTCATTCTCATCCATCTGCCTGCCGCAGATGCATCTATCCATGACAGTATCAGTAAGAGTGACCACCACACAGTCTTGTGGAGATGAAGTTTTGCCTTTACACTGAGAATATCTTACATTGTGTTGTATGACACAACTACTGTGCTAAATTGGATAGACTTCATGAAGATCAAACAGCTCAATACTGGGCACCCAGGACCACCAGCAACAACAGAATCACACTCTAGTACAATTGTAACTTCTTGGCCCAGCATATCCCCCACTGAACCATTAACATGAAGCCAAGGAATCAACCCTGCTCAATGGAGAGTGCAGGAGGGCATACCAGGACCAGCACCAGGCAAACCCAAAAATTAGGTGTCAACCACGTGAAGCTACAGAACAGGATGACTTGCACACCAAACAACATAAGCAGCAAGCGATAAACAGAGCTAAGTTAGCCTACAACCAACTAATAAGATCTAAGCTCTGCCATCCTGCCACATCCAGTCGTGAATGATGGTGGTCAAGTAAACAACTCACTGGAGGAGGAAGCTCCACAAATATCCCTGTCTTTAATAATGGGAGAGCCCAGCATATCAGTACAAAAGATCAGGCTGAAGCATTTGCAACAATCTTCATCCAGAATT